CACTGACCTCAGCGGGGCAGCGCGCGAGGTTGGTGCTGTGACGCGACTCGGACGCTGACCCTCAGGGAGGGTCAGCTCTCAGTTCTATTGTTCAAGGCTTTTCCTCACCTCGAAATGATATGAACTCCATCATAAAGGGTTGATTAAGGTTTCAGGTAGTTGTGGGTTAGTAATCAGGTACTTCCGACCGACAGAGCCGAACGCTCCCCTAAGTCGGGCTTGCCTTGGGACCATACGTAGTAACAGTGCGGGACGGCTGTTCACTACATTTGGGGGCTGTTCCGGGATTTCTAAAAACAATCCGGGCAGGATTTCGAGCTCGATTACAGGGGAAGACCCTCTTCCTTAAAGCCCGAAGGGGACCCCACACCTCAGTGGGGACGGGGGAGAACATGCATCTACGCAACGGGAAAGTAGTACGACCCCCACTCGAACCGGACGCCGAAATGCAGGATATAGTTGAGCCAAACGAAGAAGCCGTGGACTACCCTATGGAATCGCCGCGAACAGAACCCGATCACTGCATCGAACCGCCCACCGCGGGGGTGGCTCGATCGGGACCGAGAGACTGGTTCCGAGACATTGGAGGAAGTAAGGAATCCGTGGGGGACCAAGCTTGGATGGATCCAGGTCTGTCTGAATTCTTACGGGAACTTGCCGCTCAGATGGCCCGGGGGGTAGTGCAGGCATCCCAGAGGCCCATCGGATACGAGGACGGCAAGAACATGAGGGATTTCCTCGACCTTGCAGAGTTAGATTTTATCAAAAGAGGGCTAGAAGAACGGCTGTGGGGAGAAGAACTCAAAAGATATCTGCGGGGAGACGCCTTGAGGTTCTGGCTGTATCTGCGTCGCACTGGAGAACCCTTAACTGATTGGGAGCAATTGAGACGGCGATTCTGTGAGCACTTCTGTAATATTACTCTGGAACGGATGAAGGTCATGATAGCAAAGAACGTCTGGAGGGGCGACCACCACGCATACTCGGCGCGCTTTGCGGACATCGTGGCTCAGGGGGTGACGGTGGCTCCAGATATGTTGGTGGGGTACTACCTGGCCAACCTGCCAGGTGAAATACTCAGAGAGGTAACTCGAGGGGGAACAAGGAGATTCGCAGACTGGCGGGACGCCGCCGCAGCCCTGGCTGCTATGGCGACACCGTGGAAGGATCTATGCGAAGACCACCGTCGATTCCGGCGAGACTTAGAGGACGCCACGCGTAGATGGGCTAAAGGCGGGCGGGAGCCGGACCTAGTACGCGAACGAGAGAACAGGGACGACAGAAGGAATGAGGCTTCGGACCCACGCTGCTACGCGTGCAGCGGAAGGGGACACGTGAGCAGGGACTGTCCGCTCCGTAACGGAGCGACGCGACGGATCGGGGAAATATGCTCCAGGTGTGGAGGCCGGGATCACTACGCTAGAGATTGCCCTACGACGGCTCGACCCAGAGCAGAGCCAGTTCGGCCGCCCAGACAGCAGCCAATGCGGCCCAGCGTCAACCAATCGGGGCATTTAAACGGACGAGCCTAGCCGTTAAGGGAGACGAGCGGGCTAGGCGGACTAGGAGTGGTCAAGGGGCGATGTGCGCGGTAGCGACAGGGCCGAACTCCATTCCAGTCTCCCCGGATTGGGGAAGGAGGTTGCTCGCGGGGAAGGAGCGGGAACGCCCCGAAGGCTCAGATGTGGGGGAAACTCAGCGACCCCCGGCCGACCAGTCCCTCGTCGAGACTACGTTGCCAATCAAGGAATGGTCTAGGCGTGGGGTGGACCGCAGCGGCGAGCAGAACGACGCAACTACTGAGGGGGACCGCCCGCAGGACGCGGGCACTAAAGAACTACAATGGTGGCGCGAGCAGGGGGTGCAGGGAGACGCCCTGCCACAGGGGACACTGTGTAGTGTGGGTATGACCGCCGTGCTAAGAGTCGAAGTGGCCGGCAACCAGTGCGAAGCTCTACTGGATACTGGCGCCTCAAG